TCACTCTGGCTTGTGACAAACACCTGGGCATTAAAATAAATACATTTGTAGATCATGGGGCTTAATGCTAGGTCATCATTGATGGAACGGATGTCCACCATCTTTAGAAGAAACTAAGTTGAGTACCACGTGTGCCCTACATCTCTTATTTTAATACCTTGTGCATTCTGACCTTTAGCCCAGTGTAAAATTTAAACATCTAGGACCTGCAGCTTCAGTAGCATCAGAAGACCCAATTTCTGTTGCTAGAAATGGCGTGCTGCACAGAAATAATAATTGCTATCAAACCCAAGAAAGCAAATAAAATAAAAATAGTATTACTGAAAGAGAACAGTCACCCAAAGACTTTAATCAACAGCATTATCCTTTCTGGTTCAACGGATTATATCGGTGTCATAATTAGCTTTACACTTTCTGACCAACCAAGACCTCACACCACTTCCTGTTCTTTAGCCAAGATGTCTCATGAACCTATGACACTGAGGCTAAGAATAAGAGATGAGACGCAGTTGATGTCTCATCATTCCCAGCTCCTGGCCGGCTGTTCGCAAATCGTCATCCCATCCACCATCTGGAGCTGCAATAGAGCCTACCCATTTTGATCTGATAAAAATGTGGGAAAGCATTCATGCCAGCAAGGGAGGAAAAAAAAAGAGAGAGAGAGAGGGAGAAGGAGAAAGAGAGAGAGAGGAGAGAGAGAGAACTACCAGCATCTACACAATGCTGTTCATTTATATTATGAACTGGACAGTGGTGGGATTCAAAATTGTTTACTACCGGTTCTGTGGGCATAGCTTGATAGGTGTGGCGTGGTGGCCATGGCAGGGGAAGGTAAAATCTACTGTAAAATCTCTACTCCCAATCCACTCCAGAGAGAAGGCTATTGCAAAATCTCCATTCCCTCCCCACCCCACTAACCTGCTTTTCAGCTTTGTTCTCCTGTGCAGGGCAAGCAAAGAAGACCCAGCCAATCAGTTGGGACTCAATGGGAGGCAGAGAATAGATGGGGTTGGCAGGGCCAGTCAGAGGTGGTATTTGCCAGTTCTGGGAACTACTCAAAATTTCCGCTACCGGTCCTCCAGAACCGGTCAGAACCTGCTGAAGACCACCTCTGGAACTGGAGCTGAAGGTCCCTGCATTAGAAGAGATGACATCGGCTGGCACAAGTGGCCAAGGAATGTCCAACTTGGTAGTGACCTCCAGTATCTTTAGAAGTCAAGAGAACTGCATAGCAGCAAAAAAAAAAAAAAGGGGGGGAGAAGGAATTTGTGATTTGTTTCTCTTCTGTCTCCAAGAGTATGGCCGTGGCTTTGATGAATGACTCTTAAAGACATCGCTCTCCTGAAATCCTAAAAAGATGAATCAACAGGGACTCAGGTTGACTATATTCTGCATAGTTTGGACAACTAGTAGTAGAGACTTTCTACATCAAGATAGTCCTGTTTCACCCTTTGAGGTTGTGTTTCTCAACTCCCAGAATTCACCAACTCCTGGAATTCTCAGGCTGGTTGGTGAATTCTGGGAGTTGAAGTCCACATCTCTTAAACTTCCTGAAATCGAAAAACACTATTCTAAAAGCTGCTCTTAGTGGTATAACTCTACAAATTGGTAAATACTTAGAAGCCAAGCTTGTTGGGAAGTTGTTCAGAGTGGGTTTTGCCTTCCTTTTCATTTCATTTTTTAGAAAGGAATATTAATATCCCATTTTATACCACACAGAAACAGCTTATCCACAATCAAGGAAAAGAGGCCTTTGAGATGTTCGCAACCAAATAGCTTCATTAGGAAAGAGGCCAAAATCTTTTTATAGAATCAGAATTAAGCCGTTTTTTCAATAAATAAGTGAAATCCTTCCTATTCTCCTAGATCCTGTTATTAAATGAAGGGTCAGAAGTACACATTTGATTATTTCTCAGATACACTCTTTTCTTCTACAAGCAAAAAGCTCTCAGACCAACTCAGAATAAAAACTCAAGTAAACACCACAGAGACTAAAACAAAACAAGGCTGCATTTTAGGCGAGATTTAAAAGCGACAGAATGTTACTGCAGTTAGGAAAACACCTTTATATTTTGATGTATGTGGATGCACGTTATCTTTTCCCACTTTTAAAAATATAAACGTTATTAAAAGTTTTAAAGAGATCATAAAGATCAATGCGAACTAACACAGGGTGAAAAAAACAAAAGAAAAGAAAAACACAAATGTGCAGAAATAAAAACGTAAACAGAAAGAAGAACCTTCTGATTTTCTTTGCAGCAAATATAAATGAAATTTAAAAAGTTATCTCTATGATTGCAAGAAAGCTTCACTTTCTTCTAATTGTCAATTTTTCCTTCCTAATCATCAAAACCACAACAGTATTTTTGTTCTGTTATGTGCAAAATATCTATAAAAGGTTTCCAGACAGTCATAACTGTAAATATTGCCTTCTCTCTAATCAAGGAAGCCAAGTTAACCATCTCAGCAAGGTCCTTCACCTTCACCTACCATTTCTCTATTGTGAGTAATGTGACACTTTTAAATATATAATAATCTTGCCCCAGTTATAACTTTTTCCAGTCGAACTCAACCTGTCTCGACCTGTCTCTGTATCATCTTGGCAATAAGACAGAAGTGGTCTGCCATTTGGCTAAATTTGTTTTTTTCTTTTTCAATCTAGCTACAGCCATGGATTTTTCATGTGGTCCCCATTCAAACACCAACCAAGGCTGAACCTACTTAGCATTGAAAACAATCAAGGCTGGCTAGGTGTCATAACCATCTAGCACAGGGGTCTTCAAACTCGACAGCTTTAAGACTTGGGGACTTCAACTCCCAGAATTCCTCCTCCAGTCATGTTAACTCAGGAATTCTGGGAGTTGAAGTCCACAAGTCTTAAACTTGCCAAGTTTGAAGACCCTTGATCTAGCACATGTGTCTTAGGATCCTTGTTGCATTAGAAACACATACAGAGAAGGCCTTGTAACTTAACATCTCTGAATCAGGGAATCCAATCGAGTTTGGTCTCATGGTTAAGGCACCAGGCTAGAAAGTGGGAGACTGTGAATTCTAGTCCCACCTTAGGCACGAAAGCCAACTGGGTGAGTTTGGGTCCATCACCAGGAGATGGTGAGTTTTAGTCCTGCCTTAGGCATGAAAACTGGTTGGGTGACTTTGGGCCAATCACCAGGAGGCAGTGAGTTCTAGTCCCACCTTAGCCATGAAAGCCAGGTGGGTGACCCTGGGCCCATCACCAGCAGATGGTGAGTTCTAGTCCCACCTTAAGACAGGAAAGCCAGCTGGGTGACTTTGGCACATACATTCTCTCTCGGTCCAAGCCACCTTGGGGTTGGGTTGCTGCTGAAGATAGGAAGAAGAAGATGTATTGGGTATGTTCACTGCTTTGAGTTGTTGGGAAAAAGTAATAAGGGCAGAATACAAGCTAACAAAACAACCAAATAAATAAACCTAGCACTATCTGGTTTCTGCTCTTATTAGCCTCAATGCCTCTTGGCCAATAGGTTTTGAAAACTGGAAATCCTGCCTTATCTGCTCTATGCAAATTTGGCCCACAAAGAAGTGTTCACCAGGACTCCTTTTCAATCTACAGGTATATTTACCTTTCCTTATCTAAAGATAGTGATTCCTGTTTGGGGAGAAAGATCACAAGACACGCATAGCATCAGCAGCCACTCTCTCTAGGGCTGAGACCCGTTCGGCCTTGTCTTTTCAAAACTACCATGTCCAGATATCCGAAGGAGTGGAGTGTACTTTTTGGCATTTGATAACTTATTTTATTTTATTTATTGAGTCAAGCGGTTATAAGATAAGAGGTATAAGTATAAACATAGTCATGAATACATGAAATGGATACATATAAGAAAAATAAAAAGAAACAATAGGACAGGGATGGTAGTAGGCACGTTGGTGCGCTTATGAACAGACCTCTTAGGAAAGGGGTGAGGTCCATAGTAGACAGTCTAAGGTTAAAGTTTTTGGGGTTTAGGGAAGAAACCACAGAGTCAGGTAGAGCTGGGAGAGAATATGACTTTTGTCAACACTTTTGCCACCTTCCCAAATTATTCCACCTTTTCCCTGAGTAGCAGTAGAGCAAACGCCTTTCTCCGATCACCCCATTTCCTCCCCCTGCCCCCCAAATCCACACAACACACAAAAGCACACTCAGGGTAAATCTCTTGGGATGGGAAAAAAATTTAACCACGTTTTCTGTAGAGCCAATAATGTGTTATTTACAAATACAGCAGCATGCATTTTCTCTCTTGCCCCCAACATATGAAGGTGTGTATACACACACACACACCCTGTTTGCACAGCCTCACTTCTCCCACCTAAATACACATCCATGTACAATTTTCCTCTTGCATACCCCATACTAACATCCCCTGATCTGCAAGTAAAGGGAAAGTAGCCTATTCATCCACAGAAGGCCAATTTTCGGACAGACGAGGGACTTATTTTTTTTCTTTTGACAATTTACTTGACTCGAACACGAAGACTCCGGGGGTGCACACATCTTGACACAGTGGCACCCAGGGAGGCGCGCACCTTCAATCTCCGTACGCAGGCAACATTGCCCCCCCCGCCCCCCCACGCCTGCGCAGATGCCCACGGAGGGGTGCGTTGGCCGTACGGTGTACTCCTCCGTGTGTCCCGGGAAAGGGAGGGGAGAGGAGGCGAAGTAAAGCTGGTCCAGCACCTCCCGAGCTTCCCCTCCCTCTCCCCACCCCCTCACCCCCCAACTCCCGAATGATGATGCTGTTGGTGCTGCTTGGTGCAAAACGCTGCCCGGCCCTGGAGCGCAGCCTTGCAGGGAAAGCCTGGCGCGGCGCTCTCGCCAAGCGGGCAGCGAAAGAGCCCCCTCAATTCCCCTCCCCTCCAAGCGATTCATCGGTTAATCATCAATCTCTTGGCCCCCTCTCCCCTCCTCCTCCTCCTCTTCCTCCTGGGGGCCTCGGGATTGCCGGCTGGCCTCGCCTCTTCCCTCCCCGCGCCCTTACCGTGAACGGGGTGTCATCGACGCTGCCCACCGAGTAGCAGTTGTCGCCCGGGTTGACGGCTCCGGTGAGCACCTGGTGCAGATGCATCACGCCCGGCCTCGCTGGCCAGCCAGCCAGCCAGCCAGGCAGCAGCCGGGCAGGGCTCCCTGGCTTGCTCCGCTCCTCCTGTGCGCAAAGAGAGAGGGGGAGAGAGAGAGAGAGGAGGAGGAGGAGGAGGAGGAGGAAGGGAGGGCTACGACCCGGCCAGGCCCGCCTGCCTTTCAGATCTCGCCCCGCCACCCCAGGAAGGAAGCAGCAGCAGTAACAGCAGCGGAGAAGGGAAGCCTCTTTGCAGGCAAGGCAGGCGGGCGAGCTGGCCAGCGGCCCGGCGCGCGCTCTCGTGGAAGCAGCAGCAACAGCAGCAGCAGCAGCGGAGGCGGAGAAGAAGAAGAAGAAGAAGGAGAAGACGGGGAGCGCGCGGCGCGCGAGGGAAGCCCGGGAGGAGGGCGAGGGCAAAGCGCGCCCCCGCGCGCCCTCCTGCCAGCCCTCCCTGGGAAAACCCTCTCGGGGTCGCGCGCGGGAAGGAGATCAAAGCGGCCGCCCGCCCGCCGCCGGAAGGTTGGGCGGAAAAGAATTAAAGGAATGAAAGGAATGGAAGAAGGGGGAGAGAGGAGAGAAACTGCGCTTAACTCTCCTCTCCTTCTCTCTGTTTCTATCTATCATCTGTCTGTCTATCTGTCTGTCTGATCGCTGTTGTACGTCTATTTTTATCCCTTCCTCTCTCGCTTTATTTTTGTTTTGTCAAGCAAGGTATAAGTATAAACACGGTTATGGATACATATAAGAAAAATCATGAGGACAGTCCGTCCATTTTTTTTTTTTTTGGTTTCGTTTTGCAAAGGCTTTCCTGCCCTTTCTGTCCTTACACCTCTAACTGACCCACAAACCAAAAGACAATTGCACAAAACCCAACAGGAAGTAGCCCAGCCATGAAAAAAGAGAATTAATCTGGTGAGCCAAACTAATCTGGGTAAAGCTTAACCATATATTTATTCAGTTATCTCCAAATGATTCAACGCTGCTGATCAATGACAACAGCACACCCAGACGTTATTGTGCTCCCTTTGGAAGGGCTGGACTTTTGGAGCTTTTCTTTTCTTGCTTCAGAGTAAACCCCAGGGCAGTGTTTCTCAACACTGGCTGCTTTAAGATAGGTGGACTTCAACTCCCAGAATCCCTGAGCAAAACTTACGGAAGTCCGCCATCTTGAAGCTGCCAAGGATGCTGGCTGGGGAATTCTGGAAGTCGAGGTCCACCTATCTCAAAGCGGCCAAGTTGGGAAATTTTGCCCTAAAGTAGGAGGTGGGTGGAGCATTGTGCTCACCAATTTGAGTTATTTATAAAAGCAATAACAGTGGGATAAAAATAAATAAACTTTCATGGTTTCATTTTGCAAATGATCTGACTTAGTAGCCATGCTAATACAATATTTTTGTGTGCGACAACACAAATAATATCACCGGTTGTCATTTTGATGTCATTATGGCTTGTGACAAGGACTTGGGCTTCGTAGTTTGCTTTGCTTCTTTGCTGTTTATTTCTTCTTCTTCTTGTGCCATATCCATCATCGGATGTTGGCAGTCATGTTGGCGATCCTGTTTTTATCAACAGCCACATGAAAAAGTGCTGCTGAGTTTAGTCCAAACCAGTCCCTTAGATTTTGAAGCCATTAAGTTCTTCTTCCCCTTCTACCTTTGTGGTTTGTTTATTTAATGGGCAACAATGAGCTGAGGTCACAGAACACACTAAGGCAGGGAAGGCAGCCTGCAGCTTCCAGTTCTTGGAGGCCTTTTTGAGCTTGGCTGATGAAAATGGAAGTGACCGTTTCCTATCTTCTTTTGAGGTAGAAACAGATGAACACTGTCATTCAAATCCTAAATAACACAAGGTTCAAAGAAAATCAACAGTGTAAGCATTATTATTATTATTTTTGCATCTTGCCCACTACAACGATCTGGGTCTTTATTTTACCAACCTCAGAAGGATAGAAGGCTGAGTCAACTTGGAGCCCCATCAGGATCAAACTCTGGGCTGCGAGCAGAATTTTCCTGCAATGCTGCACTTTAACCTCTACCTCAGTGGTCTCCAAGAATTCTGGGAGTTGAAGTACACAAGCAGGGGTGGGATTCTACCAGTTTGTACCTATTTGCTAGAACTGGTTGTTAACATTCTAAGCAGTTCAGAGAACCGGTTGTTAGAAGAAATTACTGGCCTAATCCTGTAAGGAAGGCAGGAAGGAAACATTCTGGTGTTGCTTACAGAAACTGTCTCTCCGTTAACCCTTATTACATTTTTGGCAGGACTAGACTTCCTGTCTCAGGAACTTCTCTGGAGTTTTTTCCCCCTCCTTTACTGGTACTTTGTGTGGAATGACCATTCAAAGTTATAATGGCACTGAAAAAAGTGACTTATGACCATTTTTCACACTTACGACTGTTGCAGCATCCCCACAGTCATGAGAGGCCAGGCGAGGAAATGCATGCCTCAATGTGAGTGATATTGAGTTGGCCACGCCCAGCCAGTCACATGACCACCAAGCCATGTCCACCCAGTCACATGACCTTCAAACCATGCCCACCACCTAAGCCACACCCACAGAACCAGTTGTTAAAAAATTTGAATCCCACCCCTGTCCACAAGTCTTAAAGCTGCCAAGTTTGGAGACCTCTGCACTACAACAACAGTATGGAACAAAAAAGAGATTTATGCAGGAGTGGGATTCAAACGGTGTTACTACTGGTTTGGTGATTACGTTTTGCATGTGCTTGCGCTCTTCATGCACACACGTGCCAGTTGTGTGCTGCATGCGTGTGTAATAGACCTTAAACTGTGCTGCCTGGAAAGCTGATAAGTGCTGCGCATGGGTGCACAGCATTTGAAAAGGCTCTTTTTTCCTGCTTTTTCAACCTCAGCTGTGCTGCACAAAGCAGCTGAGGTTGAAAAAGCGGGAAATAAAGGAGAGGTAAGAGCCCAGGCAGGCAGGTGGGCCAAACAGCAGCAAACACAGAACCGGTTCGGTATCTGCTGCTCTTCAGAGTTGCCGGCTCTATAGAACCGGGCAGAACTGGTAGTATCCCATCCCTGGATTTATGACTAGTTCTTGAGCTTACAACAGACCCAGTGTCCTCGTGATCACATGATTGAAATTCGGGCGCTTGGCAACCAGCATGTATTTACAACGGCTGCAGCCTCCTGGGGTCACGTGATCACCATTTGTGACCTTCCAGGCTGGGTCAATGGGAGAAACTGGATTCACTGAAAGACCATGGCAATAAAAGGTAATAGTAATGTAGAATAGAGTAGAGTAGAGTAGAGTAGAATAGAATAGAATAGAATAGAGAATAAGAAATAAGGAATAAAAATGTAATGGAATAAGAATGGAATAAGAATGGAATGGAATGGAATAGAATAGGGAATAAGGAATAAGAAATAACAATGGAGTAGAGTGGAGTGGAATGGAATCGAATAGAATAGAATTAGAAGAGAAGAGAAGAGAAGAGAAGAGAAGAGAAGAGAAGAGAAGAGAAGAGAAGAGAGAATAAGAATGGAGTGGAGTGGAATCAAATAGAATAGAACTAGAATAGAATAGAGAATAAGGAATAAGGAATAAAGAATAAGGAATAAAAATGTAATGGAATAAGAATGGAATAAGAATGGAATGGAATGGAATAGAATAGGGAATAGGGAATAAGGAATAAGAAATAACAATGGAGTGGAATGGAATGGAATGGAATGGAATGGAATGGAATGGAATAGAATAGAATAGAATAGAATAGAATAGAATAGAATAGAATAGAATAGAATGAGCTGGAAGGGACCTTGGAGGTCTTCTAGTCCAGCCTACTGCTCAAGCAGGAGACCCTGTACCATCTCAGACAAGGGACTGTCCAGTCTCTTCTTAAAAACCACCAGTGATGCCCACAATTTCTGAAGACAAGCCATTCTGCTGGTTAATTGTCCTCCCTGTTAGGGAGTTTCTCTTTAATTCCAGGTTGCTCCTGTCCTTGACTAGTTTCCAACCTTGTCCTGCCCTCTGGGGCTTTGGAAAATAATTTGTCCCCCTCTTCTTCGTGGCAGCCTCTCAAATGCTGGAATACTGCTCTCCTGTCAACCCCTAATTCTTCTTTTCTTTAGACTAGCCAGACCCAAAACCTGCATCCATTCTTCCTATGGTTTAGTCTCCAGGCCTTTGATCATTTTAGTTGCTCTTCCCTGAACCTTTTCCAACGTCTCAACATCAGGGCAACACAAAAACTGCTCCACTTAGCGATGGATGCCCCATCCCAATGGTGGCCGTAAATCAAGGACCAACTGCAATGGACCCAAAGAGTTAAGCTAGATTATAAACCTAAGAAATAAGGTGTCTATGTATCATGTGTTAATATGGGGAACAGAAGCCATTTGATTGCAGATGACTTGCTGGGAAATTGATGAGTAATATCAGCCTTACCGTGTGCTGCCTTCGATATTTGCGTTTGCTGAAAGAGGTGTGTTATCATCTGCGCTGAATCTCATTGGCTGGATCAAACAAGTACATAAAACTCAATCTTCTATTGAGTCAGAATCTGAATATAACTACCCATTAAGCCCACACCAACTGGCAGTGGATAGGCAGGCTTTCAAGATGGAGATTCCCACCCCAAAAAATATGGTTTCACGCTTGGCAGATGAAGAACTGATTTGTTTACCAGTGGGTCAGATTTTATCCGTAGCTGCATTAAGGAACCTGTTTCCCCTTTAACGCTCTTGAAAAAAACACTCCCCAAGACGGCTTGTTTTCAGGGTATGTGTTCTTTTGCCATCTGTTGAATAAATATTTAAAGAAGCCCCAAAGCTGCCTTGGTTTATAAAGGACTTAAAAATCCCATGTAGCCTAAACGTACGAGGCCTGTTGTCTTTGCAGCATCAACAGCAGAGGAAAGAAAAAACAAACAAGCCCCCAACTGATCAAGATACAAAAATGCTTCAACTACAGAATTTACCAGGTCCTTACAATGCAACGTAGATTAACAAGCGTCCTATTGTTGATTGCAGGCAGGTTATTTTAGAGCCCGTGGCCGACAAGGATCCTCCAATTTCCAGATTTTGTCCCCAGATTTTGTTCTTTAAGATCCTCTCTTAGGGGAATTTCCTTGTTCTCTGGTTGCTTGAGAATTCCTTCTCAATTCCTCAGGGCCGTGTTGGCAGAACTCACATACTGGACGTTCTGGAT